GAGTACGAGAGAGAGAGAGGTTCGTACAAAAACACCTGAAGCCCACTGTCCTAAACTCCTAATATTTTGGTTGGTTTAGTGTTTTAACATGTTAGCATTTGAATCACAAGTAACTTCTGGAATTCTTGCAAAGTCTCATGATTATGCTTTTTATTTTTCCCCCTTTGCAATCGAAGGTTATTTGGGATTCTGAACTCTTGCAAAGAATCAAAACTTCTCTTTTGTTTTTGAGAAAATTGTTTAAAAACTAATGCATAATAGGGTTTTCTCTAGGTAGAGCCACAAATGTTTACTAATGTGATATTGGTTTACATTTTTTGTTCTTCTGTTATTGAATCTAATTTCAATTATTACAATAACTTTTACCTTTTTTTATGGTTTAGGCAGGACTGCCTACTAGGTTAGGGCAATGGTGGGGAGCTGTGCCATTTCTTACTTCTTGTGTGGTTATTGTATGTGGGTTCATCTACTTGGTGTGTCTCTTGTCTGGATATGATACGTTCGAGGAGGTTTGCTTTTGGCCTTCTGCTGTGATTTCACGGCTTCAAGGTATGACTTGTAGCTCTTATCGAGTCATGAAATATTTTTATGTTAAATAGATCTTTATTCATATTCATTGTAAAAAAAGGTAAAAAAAGCAAGGAATTGCAAGTTGTCTGTCCATCTAATGTTTTCTATATATGAGGACTTATTTTCTTTGTTACTTATTGCTTGTGTATGACATGGTCAGCCATTTTTTATGTAATTAGTAACAGTTGGGAAGTATCTATATAAGAGTTATCTGTTTAGCTTCGGAAAAGTAATGATCTAAGAAAAATATCAAAGTAGAAGCGGAACAGAGACATTGTTTTTCTTCTTTATGAGATGTTGTAACTTGGATCTCTCTCTTTGCTGTTACATTTGAGCTCTAATGGGCTTTTAATGGTCTTGCAGTTTATCGTATATATACATCGATTATTTTCCATGGCTCTCTTCTGCATGTTATGTTCAACATGTTGGCTCTGGTACCTTTGGGCTGTGAGCTGGAACGTATCATGGGGTCAGTTCGCTTATTTTATGTGACAATCTTATTGGCTTCAAGCAATGCCATTTTCCACCTTTTTATTGCATTAGTGGCAGCTCATAATCCTATCCACCTGTTTCCACATCTCATGGATGAGTGTGCTATTGGATTCTCTGGTGTTATATTTTCTATGATTGTCATAGAGACTTGCCTTAGTGGAATCCAGTCCAGAAGGTATGTAGATTGAATGGCTTTTCGTAATGATTTCAATTTTATGTGCAGATCTAATGCTTCACCTGTTGTCTTTCAATTTTATGTGTAGATCAAATAGTTCATCCTATTGGATTTTAATTGCATGTTCTATCATGTTTTACTGAAATATGTCTTTTTTGGTTTTTCCTTTCTTCACCACTTCTTGCAGTGTGTTTGGACTATTCAATGTGCCCGCAAAATGGTATGCATAATGATATCTTCTATGGGGAGATTAGGAAGTTCATTTTGTCGTTGATCATACTTTTTCTAGGTTTTGTTGCTATTTCTTGTATTTTGCTGATCTAAGTAATATATGTTTCAGGTATGCATGGATATTACTGATCGTGTTTCAGCTTTTGATGACCAATATTTCACTGCTTGGACACCTATGCGGGATTTTGTCTGGGTTTGCATGTCTGTTATAGTTTTTTCTTTTGTTGTATCTGGTTATGGTTTTTAATATTTGCTAATTTATTATTGAACTCTGTGTTTCACTAACCTATATTATGTGGTTGAATGGTGGAACTCATGCATATACTCGTTGCTGCATATTTTGAATTAGATACATATGGAATGTTCAACTACTTAATACCTGGATCATCCTTCTTTTCTGCTATCGAGAGCTCCCTAGTACTGGTAAGTTCATGGTTTGAAGTTCAAACCATGAAGGATTCTGGCTTTTGGATTTTTAATATTTGATCTAATAAAGGTGAGGACCTTAAACTTTCCTATAACCCGTCCCAAGCCCGGATAAAGGAGGTGGGTTGCGTTAGGTACACAGTTAGTGCAAAACTTTGCCACATTTTATCATGAATCCTGAACCATATGTTGAGGATATGACCTTTGATAGAGAAGAATGGAGGAACAAGAATCATGTAGCCAACCCCAAATCATTGGGATAAGGCTTGGATAATGATGATGGTGACGAGTTTCTTTCTTCCTTCTTCCTACTCAAGGGATTTAAGATATAGGCTTTAATGTATGAACACTTGCTTCCACCCTTGAAATATTGACTCGAACCATCAAAACAACATAAAGAAGCCAGTCAAGTTTAAGCATTTTGATTATTGAATAGCTAAATAAATCAACCGCTAAAAAAGCACAAAATGATAAAACCCTGTGAGCTTAATACCTACTAATTATTTAATAGCAGCCTGTCTAATAAATATCAGATAGCTTGTTGAGTAGGATTTTGTCATTTTCTGCCTAAAAATATCCTAGATCCCAACTAGGCCATTTTAGATCCAGGGTCCTAGTTAGACCTCCTGGGCCAGTCCAGTCCTGCTCTGACAACACCGGCTAGGCATATATATTGACATATATATTGCATATGCTGCTATACTTGTAGTATTCGTCCTATTTATTACCCAGGATTTTTTTCCATTGTTTGTGAACTGGCGACTGAATATTTCAAAATTTTGTTTATGCAGTCATCTTGTGTCAGGCGCCCTAGATTCATTGTAGGTGGCAGTGGGTCTCCAAATGCTGGTCCATTGCCTTCATACTCAATTCCTGGGTAATATATCCTTTTCAGGTTTTGGTCTGGGAGCATCGTCACAGCCTCACAGTACTTGATATGATGGTTATAACTAATCAAATTATTGCGAGTATTTGTGAGAAAACCTTTATAAATCTTTCTCCAGAATTTAAATTTAAGAATTCCTAGTCTTTAAACTTAATAAGGAATTATTATGGACATTGTATGATTTGTACCCATACCTGACTTCCAAACTTCGCCATGCAGTAATGCTGATTCTGGAAGTGTATGGACACGTCTATCATCATGGGTGCCACTGAGGGAAACAACAGCTGATGAGGTACATTTATGACATTATTATTATTATTATTATTGTTATTATTTGGTCATATAATTTGTTTTTTAAAGTAGATGTAAGTACCCTTTTCAAATTTTCTGAAAAATGAACGTATAATAACATTTTACCCATATCTTTTAATTTAATTTGAAAATAGCTGTCAAAATACAACTCAGCCTTGGCCTGCCCTTTGCCGATCACTGCCTTTCCCAAGCCCAGCTAAAGGAGAAGGGTTGTGTTAGGTGGCAGCCAGCGTAAAACTTTGCCACAACTTTCCATGAACCCGTCAAAGTACACATGACTGTGAGTTGGCATAGTTGAAAAGGGGTAAAATGCCAAACTGTTGAATTAGCATATGAATGCTTATGTAGGAAAGATACTAATTCAAAATTTTGGATATTATGTATTAATACACCATAGCTTGACTGTTTCATTTCACATGAACTCCCATCCAATTACAAAAGGGTGTGGTTTCTATAAGGTTGCAACTTTAAACAATCCAATTAAGGCGTACCTCCAAATTTTACCATAACAGGTAATTTTGATGAAATTTGTTTTTAGGATTATCTCAAAATCTAGTTTCATATCTAATTATAAAATTTTAGACTCCAAAAATGGTCAAAATCAAGTAGATCTATAAACATATGAAAATCTTGAAAATAGACGGTCTAGATAATGTATTGCAAGATGCACAATTTCTGGGATTCAATCTTTTTTTTTTTTGTCAAATTCATACATCTTGATGTCAAGATGATCAATTAGAAGTTTTTTTGATATTAAAACAACCTTTTCCAATGGATTTTTGAGGTCATATGTAATTCTACATTTTAAGGTTGCAACCTTATATAAACTTTTTCCATTACAAAATCTTCAGTTATATTTACAAAATAAAACATATGCCGAATTTATTGAGGAATTGAGCTTCAGATTTTTCTTAAAAAAGATGAATTGTAATTTTGTAACCTGAATTATTTGTGCTTCTCCTGAGTGACCTTTTTTTTTTTATTATTAGTGGTTTGAGTGGAATTTATTTAAAATGCCCTTAGTTATAGATAAAAATATTAGAGGAGCTTCTTTTTTTTTTCCTGTAACCTAGTGAATTTAGCTGGTTTTGGCCTCAATTTATTAACTGAACTTTGGCTAGAAAGCTTGCTAGCCTACTTGATCCAAGAAAATAGAGACAATAGGCGAAAAAAGTTAAAAAAACCATCAAAACGGGCCGGATTTGAGTGGATATGGCTTTTCTTGCACAAAAAATGACTCCAAAACCCTAGATAGATCACCTATACTATTCACAGTTTGTTTTTACTATTCATGTCCCAAAAGTGTTAAAAACCCGAACAGTCGAGGCCTTTTATTATAATATAATAAAAAAGACCAAAACTACCCCCACTTAAGGCAAAACATTATAAAATACCCTATAAGTCCCTTCACTTAAAATAAAATTTGTAATGACACTTTTACCCCTAAAAAGTAACTTTAGAAAACTTCAAAAAATGCATCCTGAAAATTTAATCATAAAAATTCAAGAATAAGCGCATATTGTCTTGTATCATTCTCTCTGGTTGGAGAAAACTCGCCCTCGAGTTTTGAGATAAGCTAAGATGAATTTTGTGTTATTCCTGCAACCTCCTTCAATTAGAATATTGAAAACACGATCTTTAGACTTGTGAAGTTATTGGACTAATCAAAACATAACAATTTGCACTGAAACTGATTCTTTACAATCAATTGATATATCCATAAACACTTTTGAGAAACCCTCGAGGAAGGATCAGTGTATGTTGATGGAATCCTTTCAGCCCCATGAACTTGTTGAAATTGCATCAGTTCAACTATATAACATTACTGAAATTGCTTCAGCTAGAACAGACTAAGGGAGCATCTTCAAGGTGATCATCTTCAACCCCTAGTTCACTAACTGAATCAGCAACCTCCTCTTCCAAAAATTCTTCATCTTCACCTTGACCATGGTCACCTTGTTTTCACTTGGTTCTTAATAAAAAATTGGATCACCACCTTCTTCATCTGCACACTCATTAAAGACCGGTGGAGAGTCCCAATCAATGCCTTGCTGAAATTTTGTGGATCACCAATGCCTCCCCATGATCACTATAGGTCACTTCTGGGTCCTTTTCATCAACTGATTCATCGTAGATGGGATCACCTTCAAAAGAATGCTTGTTGTCCTCATTATAAAACTCCTCGGAAAGGTTAATAAACTTGTGATTTGGACACTGTGATGAGACATGACTTGTAGCACTTGATGTTGCTACCGGCACCCCTTTCAGGTCACCTAACTCCCAAAACAACCCCTTTTTGGTCCAAAGAACCTTGCTGGTTGGTTGTTCCAGCAGTGTGGGATGTTGAACCAGCACCCGTCATGCTACCTTTTCTGCCTTATTTCCCGTCACTCGCACCTGCACCTGCACTCGCACCACACCTGTTCGAGGGTCGTTTCTCCTGAGTTTTAGCCGTCTTTGCAAGGTTACAAATCTCATCAAGGGTCCAATATTGCTGCAAAACTACTACATCTTGAATTGATTGGTGCAGTCCATTCACATACATGGCAATGGACTGCTCCTATCGCTCAATCACATCACTACGACCAGTCCACTCACCTACCTCCTTGGTGCAACAAATGCATCTGATGTAAAGAATGTAAATAATTTTCAGGTAGGTACTTTTCGTTTTAATTTATTTTTCATCTTCTCCCAAGTGTTAATTTTGGGCTTTCCCATTCTCTCACACTTTTCTCTTGGCTCTTCCCACCATACTGAAGCACTTTTATTCACTTTAATGGCAATAATTTGGACCTTTTTTATTCTCTGGCACATCCTTGTAATCAAACTATCAAAGACCCTATCTACTAGGAATATACACTTTTAGATCTGTGGATTTCGAGTGCCGCTATACCTCTGTTCATATTCCTCATCACTCGACTCATCCCACGGAGCACAATCGTCTTGGATGGACAAAACTTTGTCTCGTCCATGATTGATGCCTGCAAGCTGCATTGTGAGTTCTTGAACTTGTCGACTCAAATCCTCTTCTCCTAATCCCGCTCATCACAAGGTCGATCCATATGAATACCCCTGCCTCAACCTCTTCTTGATGCCATAGGTTCACGAAAATAAAAAACCCTTAGCAGAGAACCAACAAAACTCCGCTGAAAACTGCAAATTCTAGGCTGATTTGCAAAACTTGACCTAAAATCAGCAAACCCTTGATTGGTTGTAGATTTTGAGTTTTGTTGTTTAAGAAAACCTAGGTTCTGATACCAATTTAATGCAAGAAAATAGCAAAAATAGGCAAAAAATGAGTGGACCTGGCTTTCTTTGAACAAAAAGTGACCTCAAAACCCTATGGTACTATTCAGTTTGTCTTTACTATTCACACCCTAAAAAGTTAGAAACCCTATCAACCTAGGCCCTTTTATTACATTATAATAAAAAAAGACCTAAACTACCCCTATTTAAGTTAAAACATTATAAAAACATCCTATAAGTCCCTTCACTTAAAATAAAATTCATAATGATGCTTTTACCCCTAACAAATAACCCTAAAATATTCCAAAAATACATCCTTAAAATTTAATAAGAAAAAATAAAAAACGAGACACATCTTGTCTTGCATCACTAGTGAATGTGACAGTTGATTGTTCTTGTCGGGACGTCTTGTATGCTATTACCCTCATGTTCTGTACCTTTTCTCCATTTCTAGTTCAATAGAAATAATTTTAAGCTATGAGAAAAGCTAATGATAAGCTGTAGTCAGCACAAGATAGCAGATTTCCTGGTCGTGGAAGAACTCTTGGATCCACCCGTAACCAGGCAGCCCACACAGCTGGTCCTGATCCAGAGTTACATGCAAGACTTTTGGATAGCAATCCACAAGACCCACCTTTGGATAGACCTGTAATAGCCCCTGGTGGAGCTCGATTATCAGATGGAAGGTATAACAATGTTCTCATGAGGGGCAGTTCTTAGTTCTGACACACCTATTATAGATGGACACACACACACACGCACAAATGTTATTTCTATATTTGGCCTTTTTTCAGGGTGATCATAGAAAGTGTAGTCCTCAGTTTCTGACAAGAAATGCCTTTACACATGTTAAAATATTTCTAAATAGGGGTATGTCCTGTTATTATCAGGGGCAAATGATGAAATAACTATACAAATCAAGGGTTGATATTCATTCATCAAGTGCATGGCATGTGCACATCCTTACATGCTGAATATCATGCACAGGTTATCGTGTAGCCGTCTTTGATCTTGGGAAATGACACAATGTCCCCTAGTAGAAACTGTATTGCAGCACGATATTAGGGGCATTTCTTATCAGAAAATGGAAGTGCTTGTGTTCCTATCTGAAGGGCCAAAAGATAAGAACCCCCATAGCCATCTCTCTACATGCACAAACTGCTGCAAGATATGTTTGGTTTAGGAAGCTGATGAGTGGGGTGTCATGTTTCTCTTAATCTGTCAGTTTTCTGATGAGGTTCCCTTGGTTTTCTTCAGGCAGGCAGCTGTAGAAAATGTAGCTGGAGCTCCGGTTCCAATTGTGCGCAATCAGGTCACTCTTGTTGTAATTTTTAGTATGGGCATGTGTTTTTTAAATAGAACATCCCTATAGTGATTTTCACTATAAAAGATGATTGTTCTTTTATATTGGTTATCGAAGAAAGACATTGTTGTTTTATGGTGAAGTTTTAGTCATGGTTGTTTCTTCAAGTTTCTTTTGTGCATGTTTTGTATATTTGATGCAGGTTCAGTCTAATTACAATGAAGAAGTAAAAAGACTTGTGGCTATGGGCTTTGAAAAGGTGTGTCAGGAAAATGGCTTAATTTTTTGATGTGTTCATTCTTTTCTTCATATTCATGATGTGGTTTACATACATGCGAGCACCCACACAGTCGCATGGTGTAAAAATTGCCTGAAGAGTGCTTGTCTGCATATATATCTCCGATTATTGGGATTCATATTAATACCATTTTTAGGAAGCAGAGAGGCTGGAGACTTCATATTTTCTCTCTCAGTATTAGACACTGATGGGAATACTGTTTTAATGTCTTTAGAACAAAGTGGAAGTGGCTCTTTCTACTGCAGAGGGAGATCCAAGTCTTGCAGTAGAAATTCTAACCAGCGAGGTACGTATTGAGTTGTTGATATATTTTTTTTCTAATTGTGCTATATGTGCATGAATGTCCCAGACACATGCATGCAATATATACACATGTGCGTATAAATAACTTATAAATAAATTAACAGCGTTGCATAGGAATACTAGATGAACGTTTAGGAAGTACATTAGAAATAGTTTCATGTACATGAAATATTTTTCTAACCCAGCAAAAGACAAAAAAATACTAAACCAGTTCACCTGCCCAATTGCTCCATGGAACAACCATAAATTTATCATGTTAGAGCTTGTCAGATAATGAAAGCTGTGCCCTTAACTCTAGAAAGAAATTTCACCAGACCATGAAACCTCCTTGGTGAAATATATATGCATATATGCTCCACTACTTGTGCAGGCCCTCATCAATTCCTATGAGTTTTGATCTAGAGACCGTACTCCATAGGTGGAGTGTTTAAATGCATTAGCAGGGCCCTATATATATATATATATATATATATATATATATATATATATA